CCCTCAGCGCTGGCTCAGCCCGACTCTTCAACCCCTCCAGGGATCCCGGGGACTCCCCCCTGCCCTGGGCAGCCCATTCCAACGCCCAACAGCCCCTTCTGCACAGAAATCCTTCCTCAGAGCCAGCCTGACCCTGCCCTGGGCAGCTTGAGGCCATTCCCTCGGGGCCTGGCGCTGGGGCCTTGGCTCCAGAGACTCATCCCCCCTCTCTGCCCCCTCCTGGCAGGGAGTTGCCGAGGGCCAGGAGGTCTCCCCTCAGCCTCCTCTTCTCCAGACTGAACCCCCCCAGTTCCCCCAGCCGCTCCCCAGCAGACCTGTGCTCCAGACCCTGCCCCAGCTCCGTTGCCCTTCTCTGGCCACACTCAAGTCATTCAATGGCCTTTTCGGGGTGAGGGGCCCAAAGCTGAACCCAGGGATCAAGGGGCGGCCTCCCCAGTGCCGAGCACAGGGGTCAGATCACTTCCCTGTCCCTGCTGGCCACACTATTGCTGATATAAGCCAAGATCCCATTGGCCTTCTTGGCCACCTGGGCACACTGCTGGCTCATGCTCAGTCAGATAGCAATCAACACCCCCAGGTCCCTCTCTGGCAGCTTCCCAGCCACTCCTCCCCAGATAAAGGCATATTCTGATTTTTTTAAAAAAGTACAAATCTCATGGCCATACCCGCTCACTGGAGCAGGGCCTAACAGCCCTGCACATGCTGAGTATTCTCTAGCAGCAGGATGGGGCTGAGCTGGGGCCAAACTGATGTGGTGGGTGCTGGGTGGGCAAGAGGCCCTGGCTGCATGGGCAGGATTTCAATAAGAAGGGGTAAAAAACCCCCCTGTCCCTCCCCCAAAAGCCGTATCTGCCCACAAGATCCCCCACGGAGAGAAGGAAAAACCCATCATGACCCTCGTCAGCTTATTCCAGCCAATGAAAAGCATTTCAGATCCTCAACACATCCCTGACAGCGCTGATGGGATGGAACACAACAACAAACGGGCCAGATCTGCAGGATGAGGTTTATTCCCAACAGGACGGAGTCATTGTTCCGGAATGAGTCACAGCATTACCAGATTCCCCAGCCCTAACCCAGGGTGGTGCCAGACAGGGGATGTTATTCCTTGCTAGGTAGCTGAAACAGGCTCATTATTGTGAAGAGACTCGGTGGCTTGTCCAAGGCGTGACCTAGTCTGGCCAGCAGCCGTTTCAGGATGACAACAAGCTGTGTCAGCAGCAATAAGGGTTCTTCCATCCTGAAAAACAAAAGGATTTTAATAGGAAAAGTCTTAGCACACGCACGGGGAGTTTGCTGTGTGGTTTTAGATGCAGCTCTTTGAGCCTGTTCTATGAAAGATTACATAAAAAAGAAAAAACAAACAACAAAAAGAAGTATTTGTAAAATAGATTGTAATTTTTCCACATTATAGCATAGCCTATTTGGCCAATAAAGTTGTGTTTCAAGTGCATTGTTTAAAAGCTCCTGGCTGAACAGGCTAACAGACTTATGTAGGATGTTATAGGATTGTAGCAGTGCTTTACAGCGTTTATGGGTTTGATGTTCAAGAAATCAAAAGAAGAGGATGGCCAAAAAAAAAAAAAAGAAAAAAGAAAAAAAAAAAAGCTTTCTGAAGTTATGACCTGTAGTAGCCAAGTCTCGCTGGCAATTGCACAAGCGCAGCGGGATGTGCGTGTCCCCGGGGAGGGGCTGCCCGAGGTGCCCCCCCGGTGCGGGCGAGGAGCCTGCCCGCTCGTACCCCCTCCATGACTTGATTGCACTAGAGCAGCTCAGTCTCAGGAAATTGCTTGTTACTTTTACTGTGTAAATAAAGCTTCCTGGTTCAATAACCCCCCGGCCGGCGTCTCCTCTCTGTGCTGTCCCCGCGGCCGGGCGCTGCGGCGGGGTCGAGGGCGTCGGGGATGAGGGTTGGGGTGTGATGGGGCAGAGCTGGGGGTGGGCACAGGAACCCCGTGTGCCTCTTGTCTCCCGGAGGGGGAGTCTGGCTGCACCTCCCTGGCATCTCCATGGGATGTGGGGAGGGCGTGTGTGTCCCAAAAATGGGTGTGAGTTGGGAAAGGTGGGGCTCCTCCATCGAGGTGTCCATGTCAGAAATAGTAGGGGTGTCCCAGCCGTGGGTTGCACCAGGAAAATGGGCATGTAGTGGTGTTCATCAGATGTGATGTGGTGGGGAGAGGTCTCCCATGGCCCTCCTCCCCAGGCCTGTCGCTGGCTGTAATTTAGCTGTAACGCAGCTGAAGAGGCAGCAGCAAAATGCGAATCGACATTTAACTGCCAAGTAGCACCTTGTGCTTTGTGTTTAAGGTGAGGGCGCACGGGGGTTTTAAATAAATTCTTGGGGAAACGGGGTAATATCACCCTACAGCCTTTGTAAACCAGAAGGGACAACGGCTGCGTTTCCTTGAGGGAGCAAACAGTTTAAAAAGTTTCATGACAGATGGCAGGATGTTTATCGGCCTAAACTCAATAGGCAGATAAACAGGCTTAGTATAGTAGAACAGAAAGGAAGAATTATAGGATAAATAAGAAATTCTCAGTGATCCGTCACAGCCCTAACGTTCGACGGGGGTTTACAGCATCTTTTGCATGTGCAGGGATGCACACAGCGCTGTACACTTTGGCTGAACTGCCACACAGAGGATAAAAAGATACAAAACCAGATTGAAAAACTGCACTAAGGTCATTTTCCCAGATGTGGTTTATTTTATTCTAATTGAATTCTTAGCCCGCTTTCCCCCACTGTCCCCAAGGGGTACCATGCAGCTCAGCAGCCAGCTGGTAGCTCTGAAAAACATGAGTTTCCAACACTCACGGGCTGCTCCGGGAAGATGGAGCATCATTTCGGTGTCCTTCAGTGACCGGGGGTCGGCTTCAGCTGGTGGGACTGCTGGAATTATTTACCTCCTGCTTGCAAATGGAGAAATCAGTAGCTGAATGCGGAGAGCGGCCAGAGCACGCTGCCTGAGCATAGGTATATGTAAATATATAGAATTAATATATATATTATATATAATATAGAAAAATATATATAATATATATAAAAATATATATAATTGCATACCTTTCTATGGTTAAAGCCCAAATGGTGTCGTCGTTCCACTCCAGTCTAAAGCATAAAGTCTTGCCTAAAACCCAAGGGGGTGCAGAGCTGCTGACACACTGGTTAAAAGGGGACTTTAGCCTAAAAAAGGGTGACCCTGGCAATCGCTGGCAGGTGTCAGTGAAGGTGGGCAGCCCCTGGTTCCCCTGGCCGGACATGAAGTGACCCTCCCATGCGCGGCGTGGCCTGGTGTTGCCACGCACGCTGCAAGAGCTGCAAAACCAAAAACCCTGGGGATCTGCTGGAGTCCTGCAATGCCCAGCGGTGGGGAGCAGCTCATTTTTACAGAATCGCAGAATCATCTCGGCTGGAAAAGCCCTTGCAGCTCCTCCAGCCCAACCATGACCCTCCCCCTGACCGTTCCCAACTCCCCCAGATCCCTCAGCGCTGGCTCAGCCCGACTCTTCAACCCCTCCAGGGATCCCGGGGACTCCCCCCTGCCCTGGGCAGCCCATTCCAACGCCCAACAGCCCCTTCTGCACAGAAATCCTTCCTCAGAGCCAGCCTGACCCTGCCCTGGGCAGCTTGAGGCCATTCCCTCGGGGCCTGGCGCTGGGGCCTTGGCTCCAGAGACTCATCCCCCCTCTCTGCCCCCTCCTGGCAGGGAGTTGCAGAGGGCCAGGAGGTCTCCCCTCAGCCTCCTCTTCTCCAGACTGAACCCCCCCAGTTCCCCCAGCCGCTCCCCAGCAGACCTGTGCTCCAGACCCTGCCCCAGCTCCGTTGCCCTTCTCTGGCCACACTCAAGTCATTCAATGGCCTTTTCGGGGTGAGGGGCCCAAAGCTGAACCCAGGGATCAAGGGGCGGCCTCCCCAGTGCCGAGCACAGGGGTCAGATCACTTCCCTGTCCCTGCTGGCCACACTATTGCTGATATAAGCCAAGATCCCATTGGCCTTCTTGGCCACCTGGGCACACTGCTGGCTCATGCTCAGTCAGATAGCAATCAACACCCCCAGGTCCCTCTCTGGCAGCTTCCCAGCCACTCCTCCCCAGATAAAGGCATATTCTGATTTTTTTAAAAAAGTACAAATCTCATGGCCATACCCGCTCACTGGAGCAGGGCCTAACAGCCCTGCACATGCTGAGTATTCTCTAGCAGCAGGATGGGGCTGAGCTGGGGCCAAACTGATGTGGTGGGTGCTGGGTGGGCAAGAGGCCCTGGCTGCATGGGCAGGATTTCAATAAGAAGGGGTAAAAAACCCCCCTGTCCCTCCCCCAAAAGCCGTATCTGCCCACAAGATCCCCCACGGAGAGAAGGAAAAACCCATCATGACCCTCGTCAGCTTATTCCAGCCAATGAAAAGCATTTCAGATCCTCAACACATCCCTGACAGCGCTGATGGGATGGAACACAACAACAAACGGGCCAGATCTGCAGGATGAGGTTTATTCCCAACAGGACGGAGTCATTGTTCCGGAATGAGTCACAGCATTACCAGATTCCCCAGCCCTAACCCAGGGTGGTGCCAGACAGGGGCTTAATCGTGGCAGAAACGCAGTTATCAGCTTGCCAAGGGCACGGGGCTGTCCCCTTCCTCGGGGTTTTTGTGGTGCCCACAGTGAGGGGCATACACGGGATCCTGCTGGGCCAGCACAGCCCAGCCTAGGGGTTGGTGGCCTCCACCACCCCTGAAGGATACCCCCCATCCCATCTCTGGTGCCCTGAAAGGCACAGTATGGGTGAGTTAAACAGAAAAGCCTGTTAGAAAAGGGGTGTTGGGATCCCCCATTTCACAACTGGCCACCTCCAGGCTGTGTCCCCGGTGTAAGGAAAGAGTTAAAGAGGGTACAGCCCCCCCCAAGCATGGCCTGGAGGAGGCAGTAGCCCCTCACCACCCTCAGGGAAGAGCCTCTGTTTTGGGAGAGCTGATTTCAGAAGGTGTTCAAGATGTGCCAGAGGACAGCAGGGTTGGCGTTCCCTTTGATGAGGTCAGCAGATCAATTTTAGCAGCGTTAGGTGAAATATTTAGGAGCGCAGGTGTTCACCACCCCGGGCAAGGCTGGGTGTGGGTCTGTTCGTGTCAGGTGGAGGGTGGAGAGGACGAAGGGGTCTCGTGGTGGGGCTGCAAGCGAGGCCTCGTCCCCGTCCCTTCCGATCGCCCGCGGCGCCGGCGGTTTTACAGCTGCTGGAGGATAATGTCAACCGCTTCGGCGAGGTTGTTCACGTACGCGTCAGGCTTCACGTGGGGGTGGTTTTCATCGCAAGGCCTGCAAAGGACACAAGGGCACAGCTGAGCAAGGACAAGCTCCCAACCAGGTCCCAAGCCCCTGCATGCAGAACCCAGGGCAGCACCAAGGTGGCCCCAGATGGAGCATCCTCAGGTGAGCCTGGTTTCACGTTTCTTTCTCTTCTTTCTTCCCCTCTTCCCCCTTCTCTGTACCCAGGTCTTCCCTGAACGCTATGGCAGACCCCATGTACAACAGAGCTGGGCAAAACCTTGCAAAGCTTTGTATGGAAAACAATCTATGTCGTTAACTAATCCAAATTAATGCACTGCATTTTACGTGGCAGGTTAGTTACATTCAGGCAATAGGAGTATCAGACAGGGATTACTGTGAGAACACTTCACTGCAAGCCTAGGATCCTATGAAACTGTGCAAGTAATTATTCTCCCATGGTATTCTCTAGAAATAGGCAAAGAAAAACTCACTTCCGACCTCGACACACGGAAGGTCTGTACATAGCTTCAGTGAATGGGAAGGCCCTGTCAGGGTTTAATTCTGCAGGACCACCATCTTATAAATCTAACAGCGGTGGTTTCAGATGGTACCATGAAAAGGGTTGGACTCGCCCTCCACTGTGAGTCACCACCCCAAAGCAGAGCAGCTTGAAGCCATTTTTTTGCCAATGTTTAATTAGAGGTACTGGCCTAACGAGGTGCAGATGCGCAATCCCGTTTTACTGACTCAGCAGCATTGCTGGTGGGAAGGGGGGCAGATGTGGGAGGCAGAAATTTTCCAAACCTCGTAGTCCTGGCTCTTGGGCTGAGAAACCCAACAGCTGCTGAAGAGAAAACATATGTATTTTATACGCTTAATGGCTTTCCTTTGGGAAAGAGATGAGAGCCCTGACGTCCACCTCCCGTCTCTCCCGCTCCCTATAAAGGGCAAACCTTTATTTAGCACGGGCCATTTTCTCAGAGGGGAAGATGCATTTCCCATCGGATGCATGGGAGGCAGAGAGATGATTATTGTTATTATTTATGATGTGCAGAATTTGGTGAGCACTTGTCTGTACAAGTACCAAATTATTTCTTCACTTCCAGCACTGAAGCTCCCCAGGGCTATTTCCTTTCTGTTCATTTTTCAGCCGTGCTCTTCACATCTGAGCACAACGAGCTCCTCACAAAGCCACGGCCTCTTTCGGGAGCTCGCGCTGCTCGAGATTTTGCTTGCTGCAAAGTTACAGTATGCAACTAGGAAAAATAAAACCCACCGATACTCAGCATTCCTTGTGTCACTTGCAAAGCCATGGCTGGCACAAGGACGATGGCTCCATGAAAACAGACTCTACATTGGTGGTGGCTGTCATAAAAGCATCTTATTTAAAAGGTGGAAGGTTATTCCATGGGTCTTATGTAATTAACCAAGTTCTATCCTGTTACAGGGCTAGGGTGCAATAAGAACAGTAATTATGGTGGGTTTTAGGTTTTCCTCAACTGAAGAATTTAGATTGCAGAAGGTAAAGGAAGTTATAATACACAATGGAGAAAACCCTTCATATATAAAGCAAGTAAAAATCCAGTATATATCCATCTCTTAGGTGGCGATTATTGCTTAGCCTCTGATTTAACCAAGTGCCTTTTAGGAATACAGAAATACCTTTGGGGGCTGGGTGGGGAAATACTAATTTCTCAGCAATAATCCTTAATTTGAGTGGAGATCTGAACAAAGTAGTGAACAAAACTTCCCATTTTACACCCTGAAAAATTTGTCTTTTCTAGCTTATACATTAGGAGAAAATTTTAAGAACTGCTTGAAATGAACACTTCTACAAAAAATTTTCAATTGCACAGCACTCTTTGATCTATTAAAAGGATTTTTGTGACTGGTATCTGTGCTGACTATACAGAAATCCACCTGTAACTCAGTTGCTAAATGCCAGTCATCAAGGAAATGCCCTGTATATGCTAAATGTGTGCTGTGGAAGGCGTGTGTGTGTGTGTATATATATATATATATAAAGTAAAGCAAACTAGGAAATAAGGTATTTTTATCTATTTGTCCAAACAAAATGTGATCACACCACACAGATTGGCCAACCACCAATGCCTGGCTCCAGCAAGGTAAATAAAACCCACCTTAGCTCCCAGAGAGCTACAAGTTCACCCCCACATGTTGCCCAACCGCCCCACGGGACCACTGGGGTCATTTTTATCTGCTGTACCCCTATTATTCATCCGAACCTGATTATTTCTCTTCTGCTTTGCAGTCCAATACCCGACAGGGTTACAGCTGGGAGCCCCTAAGATACTCTTCTGCTCCCCATGCTGCAGACAGACAGCCTCACTCACAACGTAAGGGTTTCAGTAGTTTTAATAATGCTTTACTGGTGTTATCCAGAAGAAAACAAGAGGAATACAGAGCCCTTACACAGAGATGTCTCCCCTTAACACAGACAGGGTGAAGCAGTTCATCAGGTGCCTCCCCTGCTTGGCCCGGCTCCAGCCAGGACCTCGCTTTCCCCCGTGGTGGGGACCAGCCCCGTGACACCACGCTGTCCCCACGCCGGCCATCCCTACCCCCCTGCCCCGGCTTCACTTCAGCCCATGGCACATTTTGGAGTTGCTTTTCAGACATGTCATATGTCTTAGATTACCTATATGCTCATCACTGCTAAGCGGGGGGAAATGCAATAAATAAAATTGTCTGAACTCTGTAGGAAAGCAGAGAACTGGAATAAAACACACTTCCCTGCTCTCTTGCCTTTTCCTAGGGCTGTGCTGGGAGCTTTTATTCCTGTCAGTGCCACCCCAAGAGCTGTTTCATGTGGCCTCTTCCTTTGTCTCGCAGAACGCTTTGTAGCTCACACAACTGCACACAAATAGCCAAGTGATGGGGGATTTTTTTCCCCCCTCTAGCTCAGTATTGCTCTTTTAAGCATCTGTCGAAAGGAAACTGCAAGTAATAATCCCCCAACTCTAATGCCAAGAAGCAACACTCCAAATGTAGCAGAACAATCCAGGAGCCCAAGTCTGGGTGCCAGAAGTGAGGGAGAAGAGGGAGTTCTGCCATAAAACCTCTGAGCAAACCCAAGATGCTGGAAGATGAGCCCTTCTTCTGCCATCTGATGGGAGCAGAGACCATGGTCCCACACCAGCCTCTTCCCCAGGGGATTGGGGCTGTTTCCCAGGAGAAACCTCCAGTTATTGAGAGTTTTAAGATGCCCTTCAGTGGAGCTCTGGAACTCAGCGCTGGTGTCCTAAGCATTGCTTTGGTGTGTCTGAGCCTCCCTGGGCAGGGCCACAGGGTGCAGGTGGAAACTCTGGCCAAGAGCAGATCTCGCTCTCACGGTTTCATTTTGGCTTCTCTTCCAGTGACAATGACCCTCTGTGCATTGCATGTGGCAGACTTCACAACAGCAGGTCACAAAGCTGACAGCGGAGGTTACTTTTTAGTACTTTTTCATATCCCAGAAACAAATTTTTTAAATCTAAAAATATCTTTAATTTGCTAGGTCAGTTGAAGAATAAACTCGCATTGAGCTAACTTTAAGATAAACTCCTTCTGATCTTGTTTTTCATGTGGGACTCTGGTTGCAGAGAAGAACATAAATCAAAATGACAGAAAATTATATTCTGTAGCTGAATATTGAGCTGTCAGCAGTCTTGGCCAGTGCACAAACTCGCTTGTGAAAAATCAACTCCAGCCTTGGGAAACACTCTTTTCGGTAAAGCAGGACTCCTTGGAGAAGCTGAGCACCACAGCCCAGATTGAGTACACAAGGAATGTTTCCCAGCCCAAGTTGGCCATGACAGCAGTGAAATGTGGCACTTCATTTCTGTGTTGGCTCTGGGTGGCCACCTGGCTAGTATACAAAGTGGTCAAGGAAAGAATGGCTTAGCACAGGGACCCTCTGAAATCCAGGGTGGTCCTTCTTGGTCCCTTCAGGGACACATGATCTGTGCCCGCCCTTCTGTGCATCGGGCAGTGTTAGGAGAGTATCTTCTTCAAAGGAAAAAAAAACATCCAAAGTGATCTACACGTTACAACACATTAAAGATATGAAGTATCTTTAGCATGATGCAACATGGACAGAGGTCTTGAGACTCAGTAGTTACTCACGTCCATCAAGTCATCCTCAGGAGATGAATAAACATCCCCCTCTCCCAGGGAGCATTTATCACTGTCGTGCTGCAAAGCTCAGCAGCTATCTATAGCCCCATGTGCTCCCAGCCTGATCCTCCGCCCATACTTAACTGGTTAGTTCAGATCAATGCTTCAGTCTGAGACATCAAGGAAGCAGCAGGGTGCTCCAGAAAACTGGCTCTGCAATTTTAACTCTTCACTCAGTCACTTGGTAAGAGAAGCTCCAGCATGGTACCAGGGCTACTGACTAGCATAGAGGGATGGCTTCCTCCTGGAGAAGCATAAAACCAAATCCTAGATCATAAGGGGCAGTGAAAAATCAACTTTTGCAAGAATAAGAAGGTTCACTTACTGCCTGGGTTTGATTTCCACTTGCATAGGTCTGTTCTGAGAAGCTAAATTCCCTACCTAGACTCAGCTATCAGGAAAGGCCTTGAATTGCCCCAACCTTCCATGTAATTTTCTGCGACGGTTCACCCAGATGCACTTGAGTATCTGTGAGGGATGAAGGGATCTATGCTGGTTTGTACAGTCCTCTGCGGGAACTACCACGAGTCTTTAAAGTCCATGAAGCAAATACATGCAGAAGAGAACCTTGCCAGGGACAGTGTAAAAAGATGCCCTAAAATACACAGACTTTGAGTTAACCCTTGTCTTTCCCATACCAGTCGGAATTCTGGGTTTAGTCTGTGGGTCGAGGCGGGCATTGAATGTTCCTGGCAGGTCCTGGGGGACCTGGGGGACCATTTCTGCAAAGGGAATTGGAGCTGCAGAACGTCTGTGAAGCAAAGCATGTGGCTGGGTGCCGGAGATGTCCTGCTGAGCTGGAAGCCAACAGTCCCATTGGGAGAAAGGAGGGGGTGTCTGAGCACCAAACCCTCACCCCATGCTGTCCTAGG